TGAGCCATATATACATATGCCTCGGTACCTTATGTATGTGTGCGTGGGACAAACGCACAGACACGTATAGACACATAGACACCAAACACACGTGTATTATCTACCTATCTGTCTGTCTTCCTTTTACTGGAAATCTTCAGGAACGCTTTAGTATGTCAATGGCTTTTAAACCATATTGTACTTAATTTAATTTTAGTGTAATTATCCATGCTTACTGGATACTGGATGAAATTAGTTTACTTTGGACCACTCTGCAGCACGTTTTCATGTCACTGTGACAAGGGGAAAATGTGCACAGTAAGAGGGCGTATGAAATCTAGGAAGATATATGGAAATGTTGTTTTGTTTTTTGTTGTTTTGTTTTGTTTTGTTCTGGTAGTGCCTGACAGCAACAAATTAGAGGATTAAAAAAAGCTGGCTTACTGTGCCATGTCTAAAGATTGTTTCCATTCATTCTTTCCTTTTTGTGCAATGGCTTGATGTTTTAAAAACTCAGCATGGCTTTATTTATGTTTCTCCAATTTTGATCACCTTTAAGCTTAACATTTGTGTGTTTGATAATTCATTATCATTATGTGAAGTTCTACTAAACATAAATTATTAAGAGGGAAATCAAGAATAAATCATGAAATAATAATTATAGGCACCATTTATTGGGATCCTACTGTGTACCAGTCTCTTGATCCTTAAGGCAAAGTAGGTCTTTTGTGACCTGAATTGTCATCCAGGATAAAAGAGCCCTCCAGATGTCCATGGTCCAGCCCAGGATTTCAAGCTGGGATGGTCAGAGCCACAGCCCATGTAGGCTCCATGTCCAGCCCTCTTCCAGTCAGCTTTTGATGAGTGTATTACAAACTGGCTGTTGATTGAAAAAGGATTTATGATAGATGTTGATTCTAGTAAGATTTTTGTAGAGCTGACAGACTGGAATTCCTTTGTGTCTTCAATATCCATGGGCATTAATTTGGACAAATAGTTCTATATCAAGAGCTTGTACGTGATCTGGTCTGTCATCTGACTGAACCACGGGACATGAGGCGCCCCCAGACTGATAGAGGAGGTGTTGCCTTAGAAAGACTACAGAATGGAAGGATCCATTTGGATGTTCAGCCTTTGGTTTCACCTGGTCAAAGTCTTCTCAAAAATGTTGAAGCTTTTGTTCTTTTCATTACTCCTATTTATTATCTTATGGCTCACTTCCCTTATCCTGATCTGCATTCTGCATGGTCACTGATAAGTAAATGTATAAAATGAAAGTTCCTATGTCATGAAACATATCTGCTCTTATGATATGACATATTTTGTAAAATGCTTTCTAATCCATAACTCAAGATGTTTTATAAACATGAAAAAAAACAGCTTCTCCATGCATATAATTATAATAAGCTGCCATATACTCATGTCTGCTTTATTATTTTTTTTCTGAACTGGCAGCACCTTCTATTCGTGTGTCGCTCTAATGACAATAAAGAATAAAGGACCTCTCAGATCTCTCTTTCACGCACTTACATTCATTGTAGGCAAGAAGGCGAGTGCCTGATTTATGACTTGTTCAGTTCACTCAGGAGTGACAGATTACTAGTTTGTGGTGAATTGCATTTTAACAAGAGACAGAACTTAAATAATGAGAGGGAAACAGTAGACATCTTATTATACTGCCTGGTGAGAGTCAAACATCTCCTACCTCCGGGGTTATATCTATAAATGCAAGAGATATTTGGCTGTCTGTCTACCAATTATTCCAGCTTTTTTATTGTCTTTGGAAAAGGAACAGGATGCTGGCTGACTTTCAAAAGGCTGTGCTTTCCAGGAAATGGAGCTTCCTGGTTTTACAGTGGGTCGCACCATCGGGGACCCATCATGGTCCTAAAGGGCCACAGTGGGACAGCAGGATGTATTTCCAAGTGTCGTTAGTTCCCTGTCTAAATGGACCTGTAATGGGTGGTGAGTTAGAGAATGGCACACACGACCCACTGAGCATGCATTCTTCCCCCATCTGTACTCAGTAGGAAAAAAAGTGTTTGAGCGTTTCTGTCTGAAGTGTGCTTTGTCGCCCTATCATACAACTATCTCAGGGTGGTTTGGAGATACAGTGGAAGTCTGCTGTGGAGAGAGGAAACTGTGGGCCGGTCTGCATGGCGTTGGCCAGTGTCCCTTCCTAGGAGACATCCAAGTGAAGCTGTTCATCTTGAGCAGTTGATGGACATGGAATAGATGTCCTAAGTGTCACTTCCTGGCTCTCTGGGGCGGTGGTGGCACCTCTTGAAATGTCGTCTCTGGAGTTGGGCAGGTGCTTCCCAGAAGTACTCTTGTCTAATGAGCCTTTGGATTCTTGGCTCCTTCTCCCACTTTTTGTTGCCCTGTCATTCCTGATGTCCCTAATAGCAGCAGGGTAAATTCCGTCTGGACACTTGTCTTCTGGAGTAAACCTGCTCCCCACTCTGGTTTCTAAACCACCATCCCGAATACTGAGTTTTGTGAATGTTATGAATATAGTCCATTGTTCCCTTGTAGCGTGTTGTTTTTTTCAGGGGAGTGCAAGGCTAAGTGCCTAGGCTCTGAGGTCAGATGGTCTGGATTCGGGATGTAACCCCCTTCCCACTGCTAGTTGTGTGAACTTGGCCATTTTACTAATAACTAGTAACACAGTACCTACCTTTATGATGCCTGTGAGTTTAACGAGCACATGAATGGAAGCCCCGAGTGGAAGCCTGGCGCAGTAGCATTAGGACTCTGTAGATATTTTTTAAGTTACAGACTCAGCTCTGACTGGAAGAAACCGTGACAGATCTTTTTACCTTTGCAGCTTCTCATTTCCTCGGTCCAGACCTCCTAGAGACATACACTCTGGTCTTCAGGCTGTTTGTCCTCAAATTGGTAGCAGGAATAGGTCTTTGTGAGGGGGTTTGATAAATGCTGTGGCCTCTGCCCACCCCTCATCCACGCGTGTTGGTGATCATAGCCCCAAGCTGGACACTCCAGTCCTGAATCCTCTTTCTTTGCTTTCTCCATCTTATGTAAGCTTTGTGGTTGTTGTTTTCATGATAATCATGATGATTTTTATTGTTTGTTTTTAGCAAAATGATCAAATTACAATTTTGTTTTAGAGCCTGGGTACAGGGCATATTCTGAACTGATTTAGCCTTCTCTTTAGAATTAGCCGTATAAGTGAATATTTTCTTGAGAAACCAACCAAATATAGTTTTGTAATTGTTCCGTATCTTTGCTTTTTGGGGTCTTCCTCAATGAGTAATTCTCTTTTGGAAGCTCACTAAACACAGGTTCAAAAACATCCGCATTATTTTGCTGAATGTTCCCGAAACCCAGGTCACCTCCTGCTTCTCTGTGAGCATCTTTCTTGATATGAAAACTTGCTATACGGAAAATATGTTTGATTTCCATTTCATACACTTTTTTGCAATCTAGTTTCCTTTATACCCATTTCGGGCTAACATAATAGTGATCTACGAGGATGTTTGACTGTGTATAAATGACAAATAGTCCTTATTGAAGTCTCTATTACCTGACGTGCTTAAATTCCTGAAGAACAATATCACAGACCAGGAAGAACACATTGCATGCACAGCTTACACAGCCTAGAATAGTTACATTTTTATGATGTAAAGTTGAATTAAAATGAGGCATTTTGTGATGATATCTAATATATGTGTTAATTGAAAACTGGTAACAGTTTTTTGGATGGAATAGTAGTCATCAGGATTACCTCCATGTTTATATTTCAGACCTGAGGTGAGCTTGTTGTGTGTCTCACTTTTAACAATGATGGGTTGTCTTGTAGCCAAATGTACTTTTAGTTGTCCTGCCAGTAACACATCTGTTGGTACATTCTGATTGGATCTGGCAAAGTACAAGGCCAATTGAATTGCCCCCAAAAACTAATTGTCCCTGAAATGAGTCCTTGTGGATATAGTTGTTGTGTGTGTCTTTCCATTAATTTTGAACACAAAAGGTTATTGCCATATTATTGTAATGGCACCATAAAATTCAGACACTTGCTAATTGAATAGAAAACCCCTGGCAATAGAGGAAAGAGTAAAAACCAAACCTGGTTATTAGAATTTTTTAAAGATAAATGTTAGGGCATATCCATGTTTGGAAGGGTATCATTTCTACCCTGAATGGATTCAAACAAGAAGCTACAAAGATAACACTTTGAATACTATTTATGAAATTCAGTTGACAAACTAAAATTCCTAAACTCCTAATGGGCTTGGTGATGAAGTAAAGGTTTTACCATAATCTTGTCATTTCTGAATCCTTATTTTTAAGCTAATTATGAGACCAGGAAGCTGGAAGGCATTGACCCTATCTCCATACACTCCCCTCTTCTACGTGGATTTCCCAGCAACCCGGAAATAAGAAAATGAGGCTTGGTCCTCACAGTGATGTGGTCACCATAGTAACTGGAATTGCTAAAGAGAATTCAGGACACTAACCTGATAGTCTCAATGTTTGTTTCAGGTTTCACAAATGAAAACCATCTTCACGTTCTCACTAAAAGCACATAAATTATGTCAGTCATAGGTATTCAAGTAAGATCAAGGAATTTTGTTGTCTTCTATACAAACATGATAATAGACTCCTATATTCTCAATCACACGTATGTTTAATCTCATTTTCCCCCACTCTCTCTGAAGGTCACATGAGAATATACAAGTAACTATTATGTGTTGCTTTAAAGTGTATCACAAAACCCTGTTCTCCCCAGTCACACATTAATGTGTGACTCAAGTGCGGCGTTAAATCAGGATGCTTTCGTGTGAAATCATGTGGGCGATTTCTTGTCACCTGGAACTTCTGTCCTGAGTTCTTCCCTCAGCGCAGATCGTGGAGCTGTTCCCAGGGATCCCACTCGTCCCTCAGAACCTGGGTGGTGTCTGCACGAACCCACATCTCCTTGGAATAAATAACCGAGGAGGTAAGACATAAAGAAACATCATAAGAACATTTACATGTTTCTTCTTTCCTCTGATCTCCAGAACCAAACTTCGTGTCATCATACGACATTGGAAATTTCACCTACTTCTTTTTCCGAGAGAATGCCGTGGAGCACGATTGTGGGAAAACTGTGTTCTCCAGAGCTGCCCGGGTCTGTAAGAATGACATCGGGGGCCGGTTCCTGCTGGAGGACACCTGGACCACATTCATGAAGGCTCGCCTGAACTGCTCCCGGCCCGGGGAGGTCCCTTTTTACTACAACGAACTGCAGAGCACTTTCTTCCTGCCCGAGCTGGATTTGATCTATGGCATCTTTACCACCAATGTGTAAGTAACTGGAAAAAAATTTCTTTCCCTGCTCTTCTGTTCATTGTGAATGAGCCTACTGTTCTCTGACCTTTGTGGTTGCAAAGTTGTTTTAAAAGAAATCTTTCTTATTTTACTGGGCTAATGGCCAAATAAATGTTTGAGTAGGAATTAAATATTATGCGACAATAATGTGATTTCTGAAACTGGTATTTGGAAAATACAGTGAAATGAAAAAGTTTCAATCTATTCCTTGCGTAATTGTAGCATCAAATTACTTTGACTATAAATTTCTCCTTCCTGATGTGCCAGTGTGTTCTGGGCACTTTCTGAAATGCTGGTACATATCAGATGCATTTTTTTTCCCAACATGCAAGTCATGCATTTGTGCAGAATGAAAGCAGTGTTGTCTGAAGAGTCTGATCTTTGAGATAATGTAACTCATGCCTGAATCCCTGCTCAGATGTAAAATGGACATTCTCACTTTCCTGTAACTATGTTTTAACCCTTTGTTCCAGGAGATGGCTAACTTGGGCAAGCATTTCTAAAATGATAATTATACTTTTAAAATATAACTGAAAAAAATGATAATGTCTTTTTTTTTCCTTGAAGGGAGATACTCCTAGCTCCAGAACTGACAAAATTTGGTTGAGGGAAAGCACTTGATGTTTCCTGGTCTTTTGTTCACTCTTAGCCTGGAGGAGTGTGTTGTGACCCACACTTATTTCATATTCGTAGCGCATGTGCCCTGCAAGGGCGCACAGGATCACAGGCCACCCCAGGGGTGACAGATAGCCTTTTCATACTCAGACAAGGTCCGGGTTCTCTTTTGCTGGTGGTAATGCTGGTTTGCAGTGTGGGTTCTGCTTTGGACCATCTTTGAAATCTCTAATCGGGTGGCCTAACAGTCTGGAGAAAACCTGGATCGGGGTGGGTTGAAAGTGCCTCTAACGGGGTTGGGTGAGCAGCTGTCCTCGGGTGTCTGGGATTGCCCTGGCGTCAGCCCTGTGTCCCAGGAAACCTCACAGTCCTGGGAGAATTGGGGAAGCCTGTTGAAATTGCTAGAGACTCACTTCATCTGCTCTTCCTTCCCTGTTACTCTTTCTCTCTGTTCTTTCCCCTGCGGAGCTTAAGTGCTAACAGCCGCTCGATAATAACATTTACTCCAGAAGAGTCTTCTTTCTGACATGAAGTTAGAAAAATAAGACAGAAATGGAAGGCTCCCCACCCACCCTTGCCCCACTATGACCATCTTCATTGTAAGCCTGGTTTTCAACCCTAGAGGTTATTTTCTGTCTTTGATAAGTTTCTTTTAAAAAATCAATTTATAGTTTCTCAAGTTGATTTGCTTTCCAAACCTGGTTTAAGAAATAGTGTTGGCGGCACAAGATGGATGTTCAGTTGCTGAGTTGACATCAATTTTATACACAATGGGAGCTTGGCTTACTTAGCTGTTCATTCCCCTGGCTCTGGGCAAAAATGAACAATTTAAAAAGTTATATAAGTATCACATCTGGGCCATTCCAGTGGTGAATGGTCAATTCAGATACTCGCAAAACCAGGTTTTAGACTATTTCGGACCATTTGTTGAGTCTTGCAGATCCCCATCAAGTTGGAAATCACCCAGTCTGTAGCAAGTATACTAGCAGAGATAGAATCGCTGGATCTTCCCTCTCTCCCTCCAACACCTAGTCTCACCAGGTCTTAGGAACAACTTTCTAATAGAGCCATTTCGAATCCCACAATATACTCCATCTCTCCTCCCTCTCATATCTCAGCCTTGATCTTAACCCTCTGGACAGATGACTGCGTTTTTTTAAAGATTTTATTTGTTTATTCATGAAAAACAGAGAGAGAGAAAGGCAGAGACACAGGCAGAGGGAGAAGCAGGCTCCCTGGGGGGAGCCCGATGTGGGACTCAATCCTGGGACCCTGGGATCATACCCTGAGCTGAAGGCAGACATTCTACCCCTGAGCCACCCAGGCATCCCAATGACCACATTCTTTACAAGAATTGCTCCAAATTGAAAAAGTGAACGATCAGAGACAGCCAATTGTTGCCTGGCTCTGCATTGGGTGGCTGCTTTGAAGCCGAGCTCCCGGTGCTTCTGCTCATGGTTTTGGTTGGCCTCTGTATACTACTCATCATGGCCTCTTAGCACTGGGAGTGGGGATGACGGTCATCGTTCTAGCTCCTTCTGACCTGGGACTGTAAGGTTGTCTTACCCCTTTGGCCATGGGTTGGGCAGCAGGAAATGGGATACTACTGTAGGGTGGGGGTCGCTGCAGCTTCTACCCCTTTGTTCCCAGATGTCTAAAAATGGCGACTCACAGATGGTAGAAATCAGAGCTGTGCTCGAAAATGCAGATTTATTTAAGCAGACAATATTTTGCTGTTTCCACACTTAGTGAAAGGGCACCGAACTCCTAGGAGCCTCCCATTTACAGCTCCCTCTGCAGAGCTTGAACTCTGATTTGAGGTTTCAAGATTTTCCTCCGTCAAGTTTTTCCCATTGACCCTTTGAATTTAAAATGCTTTTTAAATTAAAAAAGGAATAAAAAAAATGTGAAGGGTCTCTGACAGGCACTTTTTGCAAAACACTTTTAGTCAGTTATTATTTGAGGGGTTGAAAACACACACAGCTCTGTGAGGATTTGAGAAGAGCAGGAGCAGTGGGCCCCGCTGGCGTCCAGGAACTGGGTGAACAGTGGGGTTGAGAGCCCCCTGGACTACAGGGAGGCTCCAGCCCCTGCAGGAAGATGCCTGCTTCCTCCAGAATTTGAAAGGCCTAACATGCAACTCTTCACAGTCCTTTGTCACCCTCCTTGTGGCTGAGTGGATTAATCCCATCTGGCAGGATTAGAAGGGTCATAACTGCTAAATAGTCTGGCTTCTACACTGAAGGGTTTGTTTTCCACAAAGAAACCACGGAGATGCCCAGTCATGTCCTCAACTTCCTCCTCACGGTGCTGAGGAGCCAGTGGTCTGGAGGTTGCCCAGCAGGCGCCTATGCTGCACAGCGTCCTTGTGGGGCTCTCTGACCGTGCCTCCCCCATCTCTTCCTCGGCCCCCCAGGAACAGCATCGCTGCCTCAGCCGTGTGTGTCTTCAACCTGAGTGCCATCTCCCAGGCCTTCAACGGACCCTTCAAGTACCAGGAGAATTCACGGTCTGCCTGGCTGCCATATCCCAACCCCAACCCCAACTTCCAGGTAATTTCTGGGGGCCCAGGGCCACTCCTTCCCCAAGGAAGCAGAACCCCATGTAGACGGCCTGGCACAGTTGAACCCCCACACACACCCCCGAGTGTGCACAGTGCAGCTGGGAGCCCCCCAGCCATCGCGGACAGGCCCCCACTCAGCTTGGCTCATGGAAGGGGGCCGAGGCCTTTTGTCAGCTGAGGTGCCTGGGCCGTTAAGGGTTTTTTGTTGGCTGGAAACCCGAGGCTGCACTGAGAAAGGCCAGCATAAAGCAGCAGGCTGGGAGTCCAAGCTTCAATTAGTGCTAATGGTGGTGGACTCTGTGTCCCCAGAAGCTCTGATCCCTAATGAATGACACTGTAGTGAATGGAGCCCAGGGCACAGAGCAGTGGAGACACATCAACAGAACTAGAGCACTAATTGGTGAATGTGGCGAGATTTCCCATCGGGGTGAGCAGGCTGTGATGGTACAGCCTGGGGCGGGGTGGGGGGGGGGTGTGCAGGAGTGGGCAGAGCAGATGGTGGCCGTTTGCTTATGAATCACAAAATTACAGGATGTTTGAGCTATAAGGGGCTCTGTATGCCATGTACTCTCCTCTCCCAATTTCAGAAAAAGCTGAGACCCAAAGAAGTTATTACTTTTCTCACATTTGGCCGGCAGCCAGTGTATTAGTCTGCATGGGCTGCTGTAACAAAATGCCCCTGACCAGGTGACTTGAATAACAGACCTGTGTTTTGTCACAGTTCTGGAGGCTGGAAGTCCTAGATGAACTCTCAGACTGATTCAGTTTCTGGAAAGCTCTCTTCCCTCGCTTGAATGTGACCACCCTCACCCTGTGTCTTCATGTGGTCGTTCCTCAGTGAGTGGGGAGAGATACTAATCCTGTGGGATCAGGACCCCACACCTGTGACCCCATTTAGCCTTAATTATCCTTAGAAACTCCATCTCCTAAGACCGTCACACTGGGGGGTTGGGGCTGCAACCTCTGCATTTTGGGAGGAGACACACATTCAGTCCACAACAGCGGGCTTGCCTTGAGGGCCTCCCTTCTGACAAGAATGCTCATAAGATCGCCATCATCCTCAGCATGGGTGTAGCTTTTAGTACCACCAAGTGCTCGTCATGATGCACGCTGGCCACGATGCCGTGATCCGTAATGAATTCTCCCTTGGACAGAGGGGCGCCAAGCCTCAGTGCCGATCATCAGGCTGAGGACACTGTCTGCTTAGCAGCTGAGCTGAGATCTCAGACTCAGTCCCCAGCTGCAAAGCCCCAACATCTTCCATCTAAAAGACCATTCGTTAGCACGAGTCAGTGCTAGAACCGTCTCCTGTAGCCAGGCTTCCGAGCTCTGGTTGGTTTATCATTTCAACACATCGTACCTTCTAAGAAAACTGGAAATAAGAAAAAATTCAATTATTTTATACTTTACTTAGACTAAGCCGGAGCCATTCAGCTCTTGTCATTTTGAAAGAGGTTTCTTTTTTTTTTTTTTTTTTTACTTAAATTTTTATTTTTATTTAAGAGCATGGAAAGACATGAGAAATTCATGCAAGATGGCACTAAACTGCTGAGCCATCCGGCTGCCCAACTAACTGCAATTTAAATAAAAACTTAAAAAAAGAAAAAAAAAGAACATGGAATTAGCAGCAAATGGGTGGTTTTTACATGCTCTTTACCATTTGCTGGTTTACTGGAACATTCAGTTAGCACCCACCATCTCTCATTCTCACTGATCAGATAAGGAAGGTGGGAACACAGAGGCACAGGATTATTTTAGGGATAAACTTTGATAATATTGATTAATGTGCCTTGCTAACTGTAGAATATATTTGAACAAGATGACTTTCAGGGACCATTTACTGTGTGCCTTCTGGGTGTCACACATGGTGTTAATGCTTTATTATATGCTTGTTACCGTTCGTCTCCCCAGCTCTGTAAGGTGGGCATCATCCTCCACACGTTAGAAGTTGGGAAACCAAGTGATCAGGTTTATATGTATTATGCCAGCCCTGCTGCTAGGAAGGTTCAGTACTAGACAAATTCCTATTACAGGTGAGGTGAGCTAACAGTTTAGTGGAACCGAACCTGCAGTAGCTCCAGCTCCTCATGGCATAGACAGCTTATGTCATTATTAACTGAACACTGATCCTTTGCCCCTCTGCTCTTTGCATTGAATTCCCCTCTGCCCCCAATGCTGGGGCGCACCATAACTGTTTAGGAAGGCCCTTTGTGAAATCCTGAAGGTGAAATAGATCATTCCCTTTAAGAAAATTCTTTGTTGGGGATTTACCCCAAAGATACAGATGCAATGAAACCCCGGGACACCTGCACCCCGATGTTTCTAGCAGCAATGTCCACAATAGCCAAACTGGAAGGAGCCTCGGTGCCCATAGAAAGATGAATGGATAAAGAAGATGTGGTCTACGTATACAATGGAATATTACTCAGCCATTAGAAACAACAAATACCCACCATTTGCTTCGACGTGGATGGAACTGGAGGGTATTATGCTGAGTGAAATAAGTCAGTCGGAGAAGGACAAACATTATATGTTCTCATTCATTTGGGGAATATAAATAATAGTGAAAGGGAATAGAGGGGAAGGGAGAAGAAATGGGGAGGAAATATCAGAAAGGGAGACAGAACATAAAGACTCCTAACTCTGGGAAACGAACTAGGAGTGATGGAAGGGGAGGAGGGCGGGGGGTGGGGGTGAATGGGTGACAGGCACTGAGGGGGGCACTTGACGGGATGAGCACTGGGTGTTATTCTGTATGTTGGCAAATTGAACACCAATAAAAAATAAATCATTATTTTAAAAAAATGAAAATTCTTTGTAAAATCCTGAAGGTTAGAAAAATTAACAAAGATGCTCACTATATTTATAGGGTACTTTTAATGCCTTGATGTTTCTATTGCAAACATCTTCACAATGAACGGTGACTTAATAAACCCGTGGTGCCTTACCACCTCCAGGCAGTGGATAACTTTTAGCCTCTTTGTCTGAATATATTTGTAGCACACAGCAAAATCCCTCATTTCCTAAGGCCACAGGCGTCTGGTTTTATAATGCCAGTGTCACACTGAAGGGCTTACTCACGTTGATGAGATGGGAGTAGCTCTGTGCCATATAACAAATGAAGCTTGCAGAGATGCGGCGTGCATTCCAGGCAGGAAGCTTGCTTAGCTGGCCTTAACTTGTTTGGGGAGAATTTAAGATTCGCAGGGAACTAAAATTATAGATGATGATGATTCCTTATATAATCTCTGGTATAAATATGTACCAAGGATTTTTTTTTTGGTTTACCATATTTGATAACCGTGTTGGCATAGGCATCCTTACTGACATTTCATGAGACTGTCTAGCTGGCACAGGGTGGGAATACATTTTGAACCAAGGATCCCCTCACTAGTCAGATATAAATGGTCTTATGTTTGCAGCAACCAGCAGTGAGAAGTGTTTTTTTTTTTTTATTCTTGTTTGCCTACTGACATTTGGAATTTTATGCAGCTCTTAGAACTAGAACTAGCAAATAAGTTAGAGGAGTAGAAATATGATTCAGGTTGAGGAAGGAGAATGGATTAAGAACAGTGCATCTTTTTTCAAGATTTAATACAGAAATCTCAATTGAAAACAACAAAACAATGAAAGATATTTAGTATTTTTATCAGTTGCCATCTAGAAACCACTGTAGGCAGTGCTGTGAAAGCCTACCTTGTTAGAACCTGCAGTCCCCAAAGTCATCCCAGCCCTGAGCTTCACAAGGAAAAAATGAGTTGGTCAGTAACAGAAAACACCATCTAGGTCCAGTGGGCAGACTCCAGAATTTTCTGTGCAGTAGTTTGATAACCACCAATCAGAAATGATGGAGCCAAAATGGAAAACAGACCTTAAAGGTGGTCAGGCAGGTGAGGAAGCCATTGCTGGACCAAATGAAGGGGTTGGCAGTGTCATCAGGACCCTTCGATACACAGTGCATGTTTGCAGCAAGATAGGAGGAAGAGGGTCATTAAGATCAGGGATTCTAAGCCTGAGGCTGGATGATTGTGGACTCGGACAAAGCTCCGGCAAGCTGGAATGAGGATGGGTCTACTGTCCCTGAAACAAACAAAAATGCAAGTATTCTTGCATTAAAAAATTTAGTAGAATGATTACCCTTATTACTTTCAGAAGCGTTAGCACGACAGCCATTGTGGTTTGTAACACACTCGAAGACAGTGACTCTTTGTATTGTTTCCGTCTTGCACAGAGTCCCCAAGGTGTCACAGAGACACCATGGGAACCCAGCGTATCAGACACAGCTAGAGAATTTGCTGCCTATTAGAGAGCGAGGTGGGTTACTTACGAGCCAATAAATATATACTGTAAATCTCTATAGCTTTCAGAATATTTGAAAAAGAATCCTTGGGTGAGATATTTATCATAGGCAGGCAAAATAAACCAAGATGTCATAGAGGAGAGTTCTGAATTCGTTCTTGGCCAAAGATGTTACCCAATTCCAATGTGGGGGGTTTTCCAACACCAGCTGGGTGTCCTACGATTCAACTCAATTCTGACACCGTTTGCCAGGAGAGAACATCAGCTGTCACAGGTACAAGGATCAGTCCGACTCCTCCCCACCCCCTCGCCACTTCAGATGCTGATCTTAAGTCCAGGTCCCCACCTGTGCTTCCGGCCCATTGATTCTCCAGGGAAAATTTCAATGACCTCTCCCTTGGGTTCAATTAATGAGGGCCCCGGTAACAATAGTGGGGCTCACAGAACTCAGAGAAACATTTTAATTACTAGATTACTGGTTTATTTTAAAAGGACTTAACTCTAGAACAGCTAGCTGGAGGAGATGTGCAACACAAGGTCTAGAGAAAGGTATGGAGCTACTCCATGCCCACTCTGAGCACCACTCCCCCCTAATCTCCACCTGTTTACCAACCTGGAAACTGTCTGAATCCTGTGAGTTTGGGGATTTTATGGAGGCTTCATTACAAGGCATGATTGACTAAATCATTGGCCGTCGGTGATTGAATGTAACCTCCAGCCTCTCTCCCTTCGCTGGCTATCAGCAGTGGATTGAAAGTTCCTGCCTTCTAATCAAGCAATTGGATCTCCTATCAACTGGCCCCCCTCCTTAGGTTACCTGGGGGCTGTAGCCCAAGGGTCACCTCATTGACATGACAAAGGGCACCTTGACTCCTCATAGCACCCAGAAAATTTCCATGGTTTAAGGAGCTCTGTGTCAGAAAGACGACAAAGACCAAATATGTACTTTGTACAAATCATAATATCACAATGGCAGTTTTGGTTGATGACTTAAGATATGGGGACCAGGGTCAAAAGGACAAAGGCAGAGCAGAGGTCCTACCACCCAACTCTAGCCCACCAAGGCCTCCCAGGTCTCGCAGACCTCCCAGTTCCTCAGGAGCAGCACAAGGTCCTCAGTTTTGTGTTATGACTCCTGGTTTTCGTGATGCCAATTTTTTAAAAAGACACTGTGCCAACAACACAAAGCCTAGGTGTAAAATTTCACCCAACAGGTCGATAGCTGAGTGCCACCTGTGCTTCAGCACTGCCATTGACTTTGGGAAGAGAAAACTGCCAAACACAGAGTCTCAGAACTAGAGCTCACCTGGGTAGACCTCAGACCAAGCCTGGGGAGAGCTGTCGTTTTGTAACACGTTTGTTAACAGGCAACATGCCTGTCCTTTAAGTGCTACTGATACCTAGGATGATAGTGTGAAACCTCCTAGCACTGCCCCCTGCCCTACTAGCAGCTGCTTGTGTATTCACCCACGGATTCTATCCTTTATTTATTCATGCATTTCCCCTGGCCACTGCAGCTCAGTGGACCATAGAATTGCTGTCCTGCTACAAGACAAATAGGCCACTGGGTGAATGGCTTCTCTGTGCCAGGCACACTGTTTTGTTCTTGGCATTTACAAGCACTTTCAATTAATTTACAAATGCCTTCCACTGATGATCTCAGTTGGCTTCACAACCACCCCGCAGAGTGAGAGGAGTAAGTGTTTTTCTAGCTACTTTATAGAGACAGGTGGAGAGGCAGTGACTTACCTGAGTTTGCGTGGCTCCCTGGGCAGCAGAGCTGACCATTCACCTGACCACAAGTGGTGCCGTCCCCTGGCAGATGGGCTGCCCTTTCAGGGATGTGTGACATCGACTCTACACTGGACAAGACTTAGACTCCATTCCTCTCTGATAGTCTCTGATTTTACAACCAGCGTATCATTTTACGGCATGTAGGGCACTTTATCAGGTGCTACATAAGTATCATCTATTTTTTAAAAAGCCATTTCCATCTTACAGTTTTGCACCTCTCACTTGTTACAAAACCGAGTATTAGAGATGACGTGTTACAAACAACAGTCTCAGGTGGTACGGGCAGGGAGATGCATTTCCATCAAACTTGCTCATGGGAAGTGCTGCTGAGGTTCAGCCTTTGTTGGCACCAGGATTTAAGCTTATGAAAGTGATGAGAAAGGTTGATGAGGATTTTCTGATCATGTGCTCTGCCCCAGAAAAGCTTTTCTCTCTTTCCCACCCCTCTTTCTACCTCATCCTTGCCAAAACTCATTCTACACAGCACTTACCTGCCCACCTCTCCACACCACAACGCAGGATTCACTTCTCAGCAATTGCCAGGCCTGATGTTTCCCCCCTGGTTATACCAGATTCATCTTCACATGACAGCACCCTGTCTGAACATCTGTTTCCTTTTCTTCTTCCTGCGTTCTTTTACCCTCATCTTTCCCCATTTCCCTTCCTCCCTCATCCTGGCTTGGAGAATGAGCACAAAGCAGTGAGGCCAGCAGTGTTCCACCCAGGTGGAAAATACTGGAATAATATTACATAATTTACAGATGAAAATGGCCTAATTCTGTCTCCATGGAATCCATATCTTGCTTATAGACCTGCCATTCTAATAGGGAAAGTAATAGATCTCTGCGATGTTCTCGATTGCTGCCTTTTCAATTTGGGCACCGATTTACCAGCTAGATGTAGCACGTGGCCGGACAGCTCCTATGTGACTCACCAGGTGATGAGGAGTTGTATGCACATGTGTCTGAGTTAAAGTCAGCACTGACTTCCACTTTATTTTTAGCATCTAATCATCCACTTATGATGGAGTTTAAAGACTCCTCGAATGTGATGAGCTCAAATCTAGAATGGGAGGGGACACTGAGGACAGGGACTTGGGGGCAAACGGAAAAGATCCAGCTTCCAGGGTGCCCTCCACAGCCAGAGTTTGGGGGGGGGCAGCTGTGGGGGTCCAGCTGGCCCGTGGGGGTCCCAGTCACGGCCTGCCTTCCCTTGCAGTGCGGCACGGTGGAGCAGGGCCTGCACATGAACCTGACGGAGAGGAACCTGCAGGATGCTCAGAAGTTCATTCTGATGCACGAGGTGGTGCAGCCGGTGTCCTCGGTCCCCTCCTTCATGGAAGACAGCAGCCGCTTCTCCCACATGGTCGTCGATGTGGTGCAGGGTACAGACACGCTCATCCACGTCATCTATCTGGCCACAGGTAGGAGTTGCTTCCACCGAGTTTTCTGCCATGCTTTGCTTTCATGTTGTAAATTCTAAATTTGCAGTTTTGGTGACAAGCTGTGAGTCTGTGTTCTCTCCTCACCCAGCAAAACCCACAGAGCAGCCTGGTCTTCATCATCCTCTGTGCTTCTCACAGGAAACTTGGTTTCACTCTCTTTTTGTCTTACCTTCTCCTAATTTTAGTTGGGAAGACAACGCCTGATTTCTTAACTATTATGCCTGCACAACTCATAAAATAAGTCTTTTCTTAGTGAGACCATTTTCAGTTGGATAATTAAAGACAATGGTATCTGTTAGAGGACGTTGTTGGGTGTGATACTATCCTGGGATTGTCATCGTGATTTTCATTTGGTTCAAAACAGTGCTCACAGGATATTCCTGTTGTGGGATGTAGCTACAAGCATTTTGAGGTGTATGTTTGGAGGCACAAACAACAAGTTGTTTTAAAGAAAACATAGGCAACACTGTCTATCAAATTATCAGTGACAGCTAGAATGTCTGTTTTCCAATGTCCCTAGCATATTGGAGGCAGGTCCTGTCTTGGTTTGTGGCACAGACAGCGAAGGGTGCCTGAGGCCAGCCTCAGTGACCCTGTCCCAGTTCGAACACTTGTCCACCTATGCCTTGCCTTCGGGTCCTCCCACACAGAGCTCCCTCACCCTGGAGCCCGCCCCCACCTCTATATCCTCTGCCCAGCACCCTGTGTAATGGCCAGTTTCTCACAGAACACAATTTCCATTGCTGTTGCTGTTTATAATATCCTATATACCTATCAGTTGGTTTCATGAAGTCACCAAGATTTATTGAATATTTACTATTTTGTGGTTCATATAAGCAATGATGGTCAGACGATGAGCAGACAGTCAACATCCTCCTCTCCTGAGGACAACACGTATCAACCAGCTTCTGTGGGAAATGACAGACAGGTGTAACAGGCTTATGTGGAGGATGTGAATAGAGCCACGGGCTCACAAGAGCCAGGGAGGCTCCTGTACTTGGCTGGTGAGGGTTGGCCTCCCCCAGGAGGTGACACTTAAGCTGAGAGCCATCTAAGGAGGAAGACCTGGCCTTGTAGGAGGAGGGAAACAGCAAAGGTGCAGGAGTGGTCAGCTATGGGCGGTGGCACCATGGTGTCAGGTAAGGTAAGGACAAAGATGTGACCTTGGGATTGCCAAAGGAGGCCATCGGTGCCTCTAAAGGTCAGTCTGAGGGAGGAGTGGGGAGGAATTGAGGTGCAAAGTCCATGATGAGCAAGTCTTCAAAGAGGATTGACGGGAGCCGGAGGGACTGGGAGGTCAAGTTTATTGTGTTTTAAGAGAAGACAGAGAATTATCATAGCAGTGTGCATCTTGTTCACTAGAGCATAAGAAGGAATCATGGCTTGTTTTCTGCCATTTTTATCCTTGATGCCTACAGGGTGCCAGGCATGTGGTAGATTGAGGAATGAGTGAACTGGATCTTTCCAAAGGTTTCCCTAGGTTGGTTGGTTGGTTGGTTTGTTTTCCATAAATGTTTTGGTTGGTGTCACAGAGAAGAGAGTCCTCTTGGAATTCCAGGAGGCCATTGAGTGTCTCATCAGTATGCAGAGTGGGGATGGTGAAGGGGAGATGAGGTCATCCTGAGCAGGCCGTGGAGGGTCTGGACGGTGAAGCCTGAAGCTTCAGCCTAGGAATTCCGACTCTTCCACAACCAAAGCTGTAAGAAGGTGACATCTGTTTCCTTGTGTTTATAATGATTTGTACTGAGCTGTTGAGGATTTCTAATGGCACTCTCCAGGTACTTTAATTTTGACTTATGTCTCAGTCAGTTCAGGTTACAGTAACAAAATACTATAGACTGGGGGTGGGTCAGGAAGAGTGGTTTAAAAGACAAATCTATTTCTCACCATTGTGGTCGCTGGAAGTTCAGTATCAAGGTGCTAGCCAGTTTGTTTCCTGGTGAAAGTCCTCTTCCTTGTCCCTAGATGTCCATCTCCTTGCTGTGCCCTCATAGGATGGAAACAGAGATCATATCTCTTGTGTCTCTTTTAGTTTTTTTAAAGATTTATTTATTTTAGAGAGTGAATGTGAATAGGGGAGGGGGTAGAAGGAGAGAGAGAAATCTTCAAGCAGGCTCCCCACTGAGCATGGAGCCCAACCCAGGGCTCCATCTTATGACCCTGAGATTATGACCTGAGCTGAAACCAAGAGTTGGCCACTCAACCAACTGAGCCACCCAGGTGCCTCCCCTCTTATGTCTCTTTAAAAGAGCACTAATCCCATTCATGAAGGCTCTACCCTCATAACCTAATGAAATCCCAAAGGCCCCATCTCCAAATATCATCGCTTTGAAGATTAGGGCTTTAGCATGAATGTTGGGAGCACACACGCATTCAGTCCATAGCAATGAGAAAGTTGTTCTACCACTTTATATATTTATTTATTTGAGAGAGAGAGAGAGAGAGCATGCATGAGCATGGGGAGAGACAGAGAGAAAGAGAGAGAGAGAGAGAAAGAAAGAGAGAGAGAGAGAGAAGCAGGCTTCCCACTGAGCAGGGAGCCAGACACAAAGCTCAAGGACCCTGGGATAATGACCTGAACCAAAGACAGATGCTTAACCGACTGAGCCACCCAGGAGCCCCTCTACTACTTTTTAAAAGTTACCCACATGAATAAAATATTTGCAGATTTTTATTACAAACAATAAGCTTTTGCAGAATCTAAACCAGTCAAAACAGACCAATTTGGGTAAATTACAGATTTGAGATGAAATTATGATCAACATCCATGACTTTTTAAATAGTACATCATTCTAGAAACTTGCTTGCCCATGTCTGTGTCGTAGGACGTCAAGACTGAGCTACCACTCCCCTCTGCACCCCAGCCCATCACCTCCTACAGGATAAGGAGGGGATTAGCTCAGATCTTGGTAGCCAGCCATCCCAGGCTGTCTTGTCTTGCCTCTAGGTTTGCAGATCTGATTCTGAGAGTCATATACCATGTGCCCTTTAGCAGATATGTCTATGGAGGTTCACTTGTTTATTCTACAGGCCTGATGTTTTGCTTTTGTTTTAATATACTGACTCTGGACAAATTGAAAATTGGCATGCATCAAGATGTTGCTAACTGGAGTCACAGGTTGGGATTATTGGGGAAGATGCCGTATAGAGAACTCTCTTGCAGTTTCCATGCATCACTAGGCAGGATGTTTGTTAAACTGTAAGAAAGAGGAGGTTCTAGTGGGTGAAGGTCCCTTCCAGCAGAGACAACCATGGATACATGGGGTCCTAAAGTGAGGCCCCCTCAAACCATGTACAGGGACTCGGAAGCTTGAACAGTTCCACTGGCAGCTGGATGCGTATTTAAGTTTGTTTAAACTAGCTGGGTAATTCTAATTGTAGGACATCTGTAAATTACAAATGTCATGTCTCAATCAAGTTCTGGATCTTTTCATGTGTTGTTCTTTTTTTATTCTAAATATTTTATTTATTTAGTTTGCGAGTGATGAGAGGGGCAGAGGGAGAAGGAGAGAGAATCTCAGGCAAACTGTGCTGAGTGTGGAGCCTGATGCAGGGCTCGATCCCATGATCTTGAGAGGATTACCTGAATCAAAACCAAGAGTCCAATGTGCTCCACTGACTGAGCCACCCAGGTGCCCTTTCATGTATCTCTTACAGCACTGATCAATATATTTTGAAGGAAATACCTTCTTGTCTATGTTTTTGTTTAGAATAAAATTCATTTTAAAAGATATATCTTTATGATCAAATATTTAGGTTTATTCTTTATTTCCAAGGAATTGAAATGTAAAACTGGAATATGAATACTGGAAAGAATTGTCCAAAATGCCAGTCTATTTTCACTTACCCTGCTAAGACCTGAGCAACTTCCTGACAAGGAGGGATGACAAAGGTAGAGATTTTGACTGAAAATTCTAAAGGCTCATGTTGATGTGGTCTTTTATTTATATCTTTCGAGTAGAAAGATATAAATAAACTCCAGTAGAGTTCCATCAAGACAAAACATGGGGCATTCCTCTTCTTTGATGCTAAAGCTAATACTGAGCACACATAGTTGGGGTACGTCTGGTCCCATTCCAGCACCTGCTGGACTTCATCTGGGAATTTACAAGCCTCAACTGGTAGAGCGTGAGTGTAGCGTTCCTAACCAGGGAACATGAAGCAGAGTGCTTCCTAACTTGCTAATAAAATCAATTTGCTCTCTTGGCTTTGGGAATCCAGGTCTGGTGATACATTTATTTACTCCCTCCCTTGATTTTACTTGAATTAACAGGAGTTGGAGAAAACCTGCCAATGGCCATTTGAAAGTTGGTGTATTTTATTTGTCAGTATTATCTAAAAATCGAAGTGAAATAGACCTTGCTAATAGTGCTGTTGATGGTGCTTCTTGCAGCTTGAATGGCTTTTCCCTGCCGGCTGCCACCCCACTGAGGCGATGGGCCTTTCCCGGACACCTCCCGGGTCTGTTAGCTGCTGCTCCCATTTCTCTCACTTACTGGAAATCCAGCCAGGGCGAGGCTCATTAGCTGGGCCACAACTGTGCTGCTGTTTTATAAGCTCTTTCTTTGAAGGTCTTCTCAGAGCAAGAGGCAACACGGCAAATGGTCACTCCTTTGGAACATATGTGCCTGGGGGCACCTGGGTGGCTCTGCGGTGAAGCGTCTGACTCTTGATTTCTGCTCAGGTCATGACCTCTGGGTCCTGGGATCGAGCCTTGCTTTGGACTCCATGCTCAGCATGGAGTCTGTTCGTCCCTCTCCCTCAGCTCCTACGCCCCTCATGCTCTCCCTCTCTCTCTCTCTCAAATAAAAATAAAAAAATTAATAATGATAATAAACAAAATAATAATATGTATGCTTGGACTCTGTAAGTGACTGAGTCTCACATCCTGCTCAGCTGCCCCTGCAAAGACAGAGTTAGAGTCGCGCTGACCACCCTCTGTCCTTGGTTCAGATTGCCGCCTCCCTGCGTCGCGGGGG